CCTGGGGACTGCAAATATCCTTCGTTTTCGCCTCAAATGGCCGTTTGGTACAAATGTTCTTTCAACTGTTCTTGCAGAAACTCGGATTACTAATAATTCCCCGAAAAATGATAATAATGTTCCATATTAGGTAAATTTAAATGTTCTCTAGTTCATTACATAAACACAATTATAAATATCCTTTCTAGTCTGTGTACAATCATACAAAAAATATGTGAACGTCAGAGGGAATTATTTCCTGATCAAAGAGAGCAGAACCAGTTACCATCGACCTTGATAAACGCAGGTGTCTACTATTTATTATTCGAACAAAGGAGGAACTTTTTGTTTCGTTATCAGTATCTCTAGGTATTACCCGCTAGAATAATGAATTAGGCATGAATTCCGCGGTCTACATGGTATGTTCCTTTACCAGAAAAACCCCTTAGTGGTATGATTGTGATAAAATAACAATATCGACCCCGGCTTCACACTACTGTGCAGTAGTTTTTAAGCTTATCGCGAGGTTTAGGTCTCGGCCTCAGATTTCTGAATCTGTTTCATGATCATTTTTAAATCTAATAAGCGATCAGCCTCCAGTGCCTTACACACACCGTCGACTTTTTTGGGTCTAAGACATGTCGCTTTCCTCACGATGTTTTCCTTCACCGTTCGAGCAAATATTAAATGCGCACATAGAAAGAAAGTCCATTGGTGCACAGCCGGGGATCGAAACTACTACCTCAGGTATGAGAGTCGCAAGCTGAAGCCACTAGGCCTGCTGCTCTATTTATAATATTAGTATAGATAAAATCTAGATTCATTATTTTAATTAAATACATTTATATGTTGTTTGTATACAGTAGTAATGATTTACATAAATGCTCACTTGCATTTCTCGTTACTAAAAATCATACAGAATTAAAGGTATACAACTTTCACTCCAAGTTTCACCATAATCAATTCAGTTGTTTTATTAGCGTCGCGTCGGTTTAATTTGTCAACAAGCAAATTTTCCACACAACAACTCAGTGCCCCGCCCCAACCGGTTATTTTATCAATGTTGACAACTGGTCCGAGCCAGATTATTTGACCTTTTATAGGGTTGCCAGGTTGAAAGAATTACATAGGTATTCATCTCAGAGCGTAAAATAACAGACGTACTAATCCGCTGCATAAGAGGGAGACGGAAGTTTTTAGGTGTGTTACCAAAAAAATGTGACCCTATACAGAAAGATTTTGTTTTTTTTTAAAAGTAGGTAATGTTTTTATTTATTTATTGCATACTGTTAGAATTGCGATAGTCCAGAGTAGTTTTTAAAATGATTCGAAGAACATCAGCGCTTTTAGTTTTTTTTTAATTAACGTTCAAAATTGAACTTACTTTAAAAAAAATATTTTTTTAACACTTTGCGAGTTAATAAAAAAAAACTACATACTGCTGGCAAGTAATTTTTTATTTTTTGGATTGGTACACTTACTGTATAATTTATTTTTTATTTACCTTTGAAAGTCAAATTTTGGATAATTTAAAGAAAACATTTAAAAAATCGACATAAATTATTCCGTTGGCCCAAGAACTCTTTGTGAGGCCTGAGATAATAGATAAAGACCCCCCCCCAATCCACCATTTTGATTTGGCAAACGATGCACCAAACACCCTGTATATTTTGATTGAACATAGTTCGGCTATTTTCTTGTCGGTAAGAACTTAAAAATGACTTCTATGCTTTGCTAGTGAATTTAATCATAATACCACAGCTGTTACTCGTCATCCATTTTTTAGTGTACGCGAGTACAAAGCACATGAAACCTCTATGTATAAACCACACACTTCAATTGACAATACTTCTTAAATAGACTTGAGGTAGCGTGTCTTGCTAATGACGCTTGAAGCACCCAAAACTTCGAGTAATATAAACAATAGAATAATTCGTTATATTCATTGATGAATTTTAATTAAAATTTGAAGTTTTGACAATAAGCTTCAAAAAACCACGGGGCTTGACACTAGTTTTAGACAACAGTTAAACTCAAAACTGTAATTGTTAAATTATTTCTGACGTTTTAATCCTTCAATTTTATTCAAAATCAGTTCATATAGAACGTAGATCTAGATATTACATTTCATTACAACCTTATTTCTCTATCTTTTATACGACAACAGTGTAAATAAAGGACCAACTTGAACTTGATAATTTTATTCATTTCATACCACGCAATATAAGTTATGCAATCTGTTGTAATTTTTGTCAACTATTCGATCTGTAAGATATACTTTACAATTTAGCCCAACATTCACAAGTAGTAAACGATTTGCGGCGACTGATTTTCTTGGCTTGTTCTTCTCCTATCTTCGTCAATTACTTGTATCTTGTACCAGGAGTGCTGTCAAAGTGAATATTTTTTTTAAATTTTAAAGCATTAATTAATTTATTATTTTATTTAACCTTTCGTGTCTTCTTTTGAAAAATACCACAATCTTGTGAGTCCACTAATTTGCTTTGCTAATTCAATGGACAAGACTGAGTTCCCAATTACTCCTAAAATCAACTTTAGATAAAATAGCCTGTGAAAGTATAGTGTATGTACAGTCAAAACCGTTTATAACGACATCGTTTACAACGACCTATCGGTTATTACAACCAGATTGTATGGTCCCGTCCGAATCCCTAATAAACTATTCAGTAAAGCAACCGCTTATAACAACATCGGATACAGCGACATATCGCTTACAACGATGAAAGTTTATCGATATTCATCGGATATAACGACCAACCGCTTCTTGTCTCAGTAAAACAAAACAATACAAACGATTTTAAATTTTATTTATAAGCATTGAATGAATATTTAGGCATATTATTACCTACGCACTTTCTCCCAACGAACAGTTTCAGCCAACAACGATTTCCGAGGCTCTTAACGCTGTAACGATTTTGCAAAAATTTGTTGCCTTTAACGAACAGTTTGATACTGGTGATACTCATACCTTGAGGAGTATGAAACGTAAAATGCAAAAAATATTTGAGACTGGGCTAAAAAAAAACAGACTGACTGATTACTTTTGTACCTAATTATTTCGTAATAAATATTTTTGTTTCTTTTTTGACTCGTTTACATTATTACATATTATAATATTAACATACCATATTATAACCCATACCTACCTATTCTAGATCGATAACTATGTACATACATAATATGTACTGTACTTGTGTACATGACATTGCTTATAACGACTATCGGATATAACGTCGGCAACTATACGGTCCCTTCAATGTCGTTATAACCGGTTTTGACTGTATATGTAATCTGCTACTTGTAATGGTCCAGTAGCTATCTCGCTCTTACAACCTAATTACTAACATTGATGAAAATATAATATATAACGAATATTAATTAATAATTCATTAATACTAGAACAATAAAACTAAACCTAAAACTAAACTAAAACTAAAAACCTTAAAATATATATAATAACTAAAATATATTATTAAAAGGAGTCAAGGTTCCGAAGATACCTACTGGCAGCGTTACCCCTTTGAATAGCTAATCATAGCTAGCTATGTAATCTTTGTAGTCTATCTCTAAATATCATTACCATAACAGACGTTATCTGAACTGCTGTCTTCCAGTTTAATCTTATTTTAAAAGCCACGTTAAGCGTTACACAGCAACTGAAAATAAAATAAACAATATAATATGAAACATCATGATGATGTCGATCAAATTTATTGCATTTTTATTTTGGCTGTCATAAATATGTGACATTAAAAACCAAAAAATAATTAGCCTGTTATTATTTATTTTAAGTGTTAATTCTAAGCAAAGATCATTACATTATTAAGACATTATCCGATGTTCGTTAGTTTGACACCGAAATCAGATAATCGAAGAAGTAAATATGTGGCATTAATGGAAAAAACTAACTAATTAGCCCGTAATTGTTTATTTCAAGTAAATATACGTGCCACACGTTATCCTGTCAAATTGTGTCTACGCTGTACTAAGAGACATGACAAAAGGGTGCAATTGGACTAATTTAGTTTTTTGCAGGTTACTATGACGCTATTCTAGATAAAAAATCATACAGATTATCCGATTTCGGTGTCAAAATACCAATTTTTTATTTGTATTTCACAATAACCTATAAAAGCATGACCCATTGGAGTTTGGATTGAACGTTCACATTTCTGATATGACGCAATATAACCTCTAACTGTGCTGACGAAATATCTAGCCCTATTACATTACTTTTGGTTAAAATATTAAACAAAATCTATCCAGTACTATTTTTGAATACAACTATTGTTAAGGTAGCATTCTGTAACTGCATACATCTTTCGCTAAAATGGATAACAATTTGCATATTTTTGTATAGTATCGTAATTCGTAACATAGTATAAAAGGGGTTCCCAAGTGTGGGGAATAGCATTAGATCAATTTTGTCACAACCATATTTCTATCATGGATAAAGTTTTTACTATTTTATTTATTATTATTACGTAATCAAAACTTAGAAAAATTAAAATTCATTTATTTCACGTAAGTACCTAATTCATTTGCTGCCTCTAATAATATCCAATTATTGTCCCTACAAATGAATTTAAAAATATGAATTCGCATTTTTTTCGATTTAGAAGACAAGAATTAAGACGCACATGACGTATTTGACGACGTAAGTTGTAATTAAACGTTACAAATTGAAAAACAGTTTGTTTGAATCAATAACAAACAATCGAAAAACATTAGATCTTATTTGTTTTGATTCATGTAACGTAGGCATGACGCGTTGCCTTGACGTCAGTGACCCGCCCGCAAATTCAACCAATCACAGCGCGGCTACTATCAACTCTTTGTTAAAAGCGCGCGCGCACAAGTAACATTTTCATTCCACATTTGAAATCCCATTAAATGGGTGATAGAATAAAGTTTTATAAGTGGCTCATATACTTATTCAGTTTTAGCGATACAATTTAAAAATTAAATTAATTATTAATTAAATATTTATTATTAAATCAATGAAATTTTTAAAAATGTTGCACTTCAAAACTATCCCCGAAGACTACATAAGGAAGACGGCTGAGTAAGTGTTTTTAAATTATTAAAAGGTGTACCGATTCCTAAAAGCCTGCAACGCACTCGCGATTCTGGCAGTGTTCGCTTCATGTGAGACTCCTGCCTGTTGCTATAAAATTTCTTTTAAACATGTCTTTGAAGACTTTCAAATTTGAAACTTGTCTTTAATATCTATTTAAATTCGGTCTAAAATATAGAAGGCACAAAATTATAATTATTATGTGAACCATTTAGGCAATTTTAATTAAAAGGTTCTTAAAGAAATAACTTCCAGACTAAAGATCTTTGTTCTGTGAGATGTCTTTGTCTGTACTCAAGGTATAACAAGACTCGTATGTCTGTGGTTATATTTAGCTAATTCCAAATTTAAAAAAGTTCATTCGAATTTTGGCGGACTCCTTTTGTTAGAAGAAAATAATAATCTATTTAATCCTTTATGCTCATTAATGTCACTTTCTTAATGATAGTTCATTTCGTAATTGTTGAATATTTTAATTAAATCCTGTTAATAACACTATCAATTAATAGCCTCGAAATAACAATTACTTTAAAATGATTAACGAAATTATCGTTCGATAAGAAAGAAATTGTAATTATTTTATTAGAATTATTACGTGTTCAGCTGGAGATTAAGATAATTTTTGAATCACATTATGTTTTTTCTCTTTCAAATATTAGTAACAGTACATGTAGGTTTTTTCACGTTAAATGTTATTTTTTAATTGACATTTAAATATAGATAAAAACACAAATAAACTGATTGTTGCGTATTATATTTTTTTTTGTTTTTATGAAAATTACAAAACCATAAATAATCAACAAAGAATTACCATGAACTAAAAATTATACTTATAAATATTGGTGTGTCTGTGCGAACGTATGTGTTTATGTGTGTGTATGTAAATGTGTATAAATTATAATTTATATAATTGTTGTTTTATTAAAAAATACAAATTGATAAAATTAATCATTATACTTACTGGTAATTAATTCTATTTATGGGAGCGTTACAAGAAAAGTTATTATCATTTGTATTTTGTATTGTAGAGAAATTTACAATCTTTATTTACTTTTGTGTCTGAACTATTTGTGATGTTGTGTACTTATACAAAAGTGCGTCATGTCGCAATTGGATGCTATAGATTATTTAATTTTATGTGTTTTACCAGATTCGCCCAGGTAGCTGTGAACTGCAGTCGAGCTGCTCATCAGACTGCTCTTCGTGGTAATAAGCTAAGCCCTCAAGTTGCCGCCTTAACACCGAAGGTAGGTCTTTTAGAGGTTTCTTTTCAGAGTCCAGATTTAACTGCATACTTGCAAACTTATGACATACGAGAGCCATGCCTAGCAGTGAGTCTCGACTCTAGCCTCTAGGTCGATGTTAAAAGGATATAAGTCAATGCCACATAATATATTATACATATTGTTTATAAAACACAGTGTTACCCGTTTTTCTATACACGCAATTAATAGTGTTATAAAACATTTAACGAGTATGTATTATATTTAAAAATCTACTTTCGTATAAAGAAAAATCGTCAAAACAAATAAAAAATTGGGACCAAAGCCCTCCCTCAATGTGATATCTGGGAACAAAAATAAATAAATAAATCAGTGGCGCTACAACCTTTTTATGGTTTAAGCCTCAGATTGATGTGTCTGTTTCATGAACATTTGTCAATCTAATAGGCATCAGATGATCAGTCTCCTGACACGCGCCGTCGGCTTTTTGGGTCTAAGGCAAGCCGGTTTCCTTACGATGTCTTCCTTTACCGTTCGAGCGAATGTTAAATGCGCACATAGAAAGTAAGTCGATTGGTGCACAGCTGAGGATGGAACCTACGACCTCAGGGATGAGAGTCGCACGCTGAAGCTACTAGGCCAACACTGCACACACAACACTTGGAACAAAAAGCCTAAACTAAATATAAAACTTTATGATGAATAGTTTAACATTTATATATTAAACGGCCCTAATGTTTTTTAGTTCTTCTCATTTTGCGCTCTGAAAAGAGCTTTTTAGCTTCATTAGGTAATGGTTTTATCACCACAGGTCCGAGCCTTCATCGAGCGAAGTGCTGCTTTGTGCGAACCAGATCATGTGCACATTTGCGATGGCTCCGAAGCTGAAGCCAATGCTTTAGTGGCTCTGATGCAAACTCAGGGTACATTGAAACCGCTGCCCAAGTATGATAACTGGTAAGTAAATATATGTGTGTGTCCTGCGATGGCATATACATTGTGTTTATGTAAATTAATAGTCTGTGTAAAACCGATAAGGATTTCCAAATTAAGTCCCAATATCGTTAGAGAACCGTCAACTATTATTTTATTTATTCGCAAAATACATACACTTACAATACAAAGCCAATACGATAATGTTGAAAAAAATGTATAATAAAATACATAGTATTAATTAAACACATAAGATACACTGTGAACTCAGTCTAGGAACATATAAGCCGTCGATAGTGTCGGAGACAGTATTCGAACTTTGCAACACTGGTTATGGCCCTTGGTATCGCAAACAACCTTGGCCTGTACCGTCGCACATATCCCCTAAGTACAAAGAACCCTAGTTCTTTGATAACACTTGGGTTGCTCACCAAGTAACTGCGTATAGGACAATTGATCTTGGACCTTTGTTGATCTCAGAATGTGCAAATCATTGTTTAGATTCTCAGAGTTGAAAAATAAGTCACCTTTTGATATCTTTAAAATAATTGTTTCATTTTGTGGGCGCCTGGTAGATACTAGATAGTACCGGTGACCCCCGAGCTGGTGCTTTCCTCGCTCAACGAATAAGTATTGCAATACAGCGTTAAACGTACTCTGCCACAGGGACAAAACTTTTTAAATTTGTTTTAATTTTTTGTTATTACTATGTTAAGAAAATTCAGTGGCGTAACAATAGGGTGGCAGGGCTGGCACAATGCCACGGGCAAGTCTTCAATACGATTCCCTCTCGTCTAAGAGAGGAGGCCGCCTATGACCATTAGTGGGACATATACAACGTGTTATTTAGTATGTTGAAAATCTCGAATTTTATTAAAATTAAACTGAGTAGGGACGATTTTTACTGATAGGGCCCCATCAAAAGAATTGCCACGAAAGAAGATTTGCCACGGGCCCCAGATGGTATAGTTACGCTACTGATTTGATTTAGTTTAGGTTTTGATAAACCAAAAAAGTAATTTCATAAAAGTAAAGATACCTTCGTTTTTACATAGCTGGTTGGCTCGCACGGATCCAGCTGATGTCGCTAGAGTGGAGTCCCGTACTTTTATTTGTGCGGAGCGCGAGCGTGACGTGGTTCCAATCGCACGCGCAGGCCAGAAGAGCGCGTTAGGAAACTACATTCCACTGCCCGACTATGAGAAAGCCGTTGCAGAACGTTTCCCAGGATGTATGAGAGGTAAGTTGCCCTCCTTTTTATTTAATTATCATAATTGTACTCATGTGTGTGTAGCAAGAAATTTTCACTTCAAAATGTTTTTATAATCAATAATGATATATAAATAAAACTGATAAATTTAATCTAATTTTGTAATTGAATTTAAATTGGTGACGGATTAAAAAAAATATCATTCCAGGTCGCACGATGTATGTAATACCGTTCTCAATGGGTCCAGTTGGGTCTCCACTCTCTAAAATTGGTGTTGAAGTTACCGACTCGCCCTATGTCGCCTACTCCATGAGGGTCATGACCAGAATCGGTATGTATATTAACATATCATCTGTTTCATCATCGAACGTTGAGGCAGAATACAAAATACCACCCGTATCACCTCGACGTCCACCGTTCCACAACTGAGTTCCGAACCAATTCGACTTAGGGTCAAGAAAAAAGCGTATGAATTATTAAAGGCCGCAATGCACTCGCGAACCATCTGGCATTGAGTGTTCATGGGTATCACTTAACATCAGAGCCTCCTGCCCATTTGCCTACTGTTCTATAAAATAAAATCAAATATATCGGGCAGAGGACTTACACCTTTCTACGTTATTTTATATGTTTTATATATGATTATATATAATATCTAAGAAACGGGTAATAATGGCGGAAAGTTTCTTGCCAGTTCTTCTTGCTCTACGCCCTTGACTTGTGCCAGTTCTTCTTGCCGGCTCTACCCCTTTGACATGCGAACTGGTAGTAAATGCAAATTTAGAATCAATTTAACATCTTTTCTATTGACTTTTATAAGTATACTTGGTTACCAATATAAATAAAGTTATTTTGATATTTATTTTACAGCAAAACACATCTTTAGTCGTAACTGTTCAAGAACAAACAATAATAGTTATTTATTTTAAACCATTCAAATGATTTATTTCCCAGGTGCCGCTGTGTTAGAAGCTCTTCGTAAGGATGAACACTTTGTGCGCTGCCTCCACTCAGTGGGACGGTCTGCGTCATCAGGCACCATAGGATGGCCTTGCGATCCTGCTAGAACTATCATCCTTCACCGACCAGCTGACAATGAGATAGTTAGTTATGGTAAGTTTTACAGTATCAGTCATGGAATTATTGTTACGAGTATAGCGGAGTCCGTAATGGGTCCATTCCGCTCGCAGTGGAAGGTGGGCATAACAGGCGCAAACGAGGCCGGCATTGGCCGCTAAGGGTACAAACAACTTCTCGAATAGAGCCACTGGGACTTTCGGCCCATTTTTTAAGAAAGCTTATAATCAGGAACGCAGAGTTCAACATATATATATGTTGTTACAGGTAGTGGCTACGGAGGCAACAGTCTTTTGGGTAAGAAGTGCTTCGCTCTGCGGCTGGGTTCTGTTATAGCGCGCCGAGAAGGATGGCTTGCTGAACATATGCTGGTAATTATTAATTATATTATATGACGTATATGATTCATAATTAATTGTATGGATTTAACTTAACCTTGAACATCATTTAAACCAAAAGATTTCCTGATTATAGATAATTCACTTTCACTGGGCACAAATAATATATTTTATTTTATTTCATAATAATAATAGGTTATTTGCAAGAATGTACATGGTACTACTAATTTACGGATTACATTACATTATGAATTACAGAGTTAATGAGATATCATTACATTACCCAAATAATATTAATTATTTGACCGAATAATTAATAAAATAATAGATTTTTTACAAAAGTATTACGATTTTTAATACTCGAGTATTTAAAAACTTAAATGTTTTTTGTTAAATTAGATCGTAGGAGTCACCGATCCGAAAGGTCGTAAGCGGTACATCGCTGCAGCATTCCCCTCGGCATGTGGGAAGACGAATTTGGCAATGATGACTCCAACCCTGCCGGGGTACAAGGTGGAGTGTGTGGGTGATGATATTGCCTGGATGAAATTTGACAAGAACGGCGTATTGAGAGCTATTAATCCTGAGAACGGGTTCTTCGGTGTTGCCCCAGGTAAATATTCTTCATTTACTGGAGGACTTTTTATTGCTATATATAAAAAATAAACCAGTGGCGCTACAACCTTGTTAGGTTCTGGCCATTTCTGTATCTGTTTCATGATCTTTTGGCAATCTAATAGACAATCAGCCACCTGACACATGCCGCCGACTTTTTGGGTCTTTCTGGGCAAGTCGGTTTCCGCACGGTTCCTTCACCGTTCGAATGTTAAATGCGAACATAGAAAGGCCATTGGTGCACACCCATTAGTTCAACACTGCCTAATATATAAACTAAAAGTACAGAAAACATCATAAAACCGCTAAGGGGTTTATCCTATGTGCCTGAAGGGTACAAGGGTAAGTTTATTTGTACCACACTAAAAAAAAAAGGGTGCGTGTACTTATGTACGCGCGTAAGAAGTTATTCTTCTTTGGTATAATTAAAAATAGTTTTTGATTGCATGCAAATAATTAATTACAATTAAATAATCAAAGACTGGAAAAGGAGTCATTATAGTCAGTAAGTTTACATTTGAAAAATTAAATAAATAAATATTTATTATTATTCTCTTACATTAAGTGTACGCATAAAATTATACAAGAAAATATGACATCACAAATTTTACACACATGCACATCAATTATATTAGAACATAAGCAGTTAGCAAGGGACAAACTTAAACAAGCAACCACAAAATAACTAAATAAATTGTGCGTGTACTAGGTGTACACACGTAAGAAGTGAAACTTCTTTATGATGTTATTTTTCGAAAAATGATCTACTATATGCAACTTTACAGAAATTCGTTAAATTAGATAAAGTTTAACAAAAGGCTTTTATTATCATAGACATGAATACAAATATTTCATTCTACCTTATTACTACGAAGATTATTATAGAATTTCATTAATTGTAATAGAATTATTACTATCATTGAAAAACGTGACGATTTGCTACAAAATTTCTCCCATACGTCGATAAAGAAGTTTCATTCCAACGCCGATAAAGAAGTTTGACTTCAAAAAGCAACATGGCGCGTAACCGAAAAATGTGACGCGTAACGAAAAAATGTTACACTAAATTTTTTTCCAACCTCGATAAAGAAGTTTCACTTCAAAAAGTAATAATAAAGTAACTAAATGAAAATCAAATCATCATTAAGAACATGTTAAATAATGTTACAGTTAATTGGAAGATGTAAAATATATTAATATTTTCATCAATGTTAGTAATCAAAAAGTAGCAGATATGCTTGCCCTAGGTACGTATAGAAGACTTTTAGTTCGAGTAACTCTAGGATTACAAAGAAAGGAAAATTTTGTAAGAATGTATAGAAATAATTATGTGAGTAATATGAATAATTATGGATCAGCCTTTAAATAATACAATTGTTTTAAAGGTACATCGGCGTCAACGAACCCAATTGCCATGGAGTCAGTATTCAAAGACACAGTATTCACGAATGTCGCGGAGACTAAAGATGGTGGTGTGTGGTGGGAGGGAATGGGAGCGGCCCCTGAAGGTGTTACAGATTGGAAAGGACAGGCTTGGGATCAGACCAAGAAGACGCCAGCTGCGCATCCAAACTCAAGGTATTATAATCGATAAGACGTAATGGAAATACAAAATAAGAGTACCACAAAAGTAAACATTTATTTAGTTCTACTATAATTATACATACAATATATTACCCTATATAATAATCTTATATATAAAATTCTCGTGTCACAATGTTAGTTACGATACTCCTCTGAAACGGCTTGACCGATTTTTATCAAATTTTATATGCATATTCAGTAGGTTTGAGAATCGGCTACTATCTATTTTTCATACCCCTAAGTAATAAGGGGTGTCCACGCCAAAATATTTATTTTTATTTTTTGGACAATGTTTTTTTGTTTTTATTGTTTTATTATACAGCATACAAAAATATATACAACCCCTAATTTTCACCCCTCTACGATCATCCCCTATTTTGTATTATAGTAGATAGTTATTTTTATTCAACTAAAAAAATGTTTCTTAGAAATAATATACATGGCAAAACGACATTTTCCGGGTCAGCTAATATATAAAATAATAAAAGTAATTAAATCAGGTGTTTTCCTCGCTCAACGAATAAATATCGCAATACAGCGAGGAAATGCTGCCAGCGTTAACGGTACTGCTACGAGGACCAAACTTTTTAAATTTGTTTTAATTTTCTTTTTATTAATATTTAATTATTTTTATTATTACTATGGAGGCAAAGAAAATTATAAATACTGTATATTTGATTGTTATGTTTAGGTTTTAGTAAACGATTTACTACATTAAAATAATTAAATCAATTTGAATAACAAACAGTTTAAAGAATTTGCGAGACTTTTAATTTGATATAATTATTTATCTTCAGATTCTGCACACCAGCGGCCAATTGTCCGATGATAGATGGAGATTGGGAGAGCGCGGAAGGTGTACCGATTTCTGCGATATTGTTGGGCGGGCGGCGCCCTGCGGGTGTTCCACTAGTTGTCGAAGCCCGGGACTGGGCTCATGGAGTCTTCCTCGGGGCTTCCATGAGATCGGAGTCGACTGCAGCTGCTGAATATGCTGTGAGTTAAGCCTTCAAAGTTTTGGTGTTTTCTAAACGCTGTTTTTGGAACATTGCAAGATGTCGTTCTATAACTTCAAAATCCAAACTGGACTTTTAATGGCAACACTGAGACGCAGGATTTTATACCTACCATACCCTTATCACTTAGGGGTTTGAAATATAGATAGCCGATTCTCAAACTTACTAAATATGCATAAAAAATTTCATAAGAATCGGTCTAACCGTTTCGCAGGAGTATGGGAACGAACATTGTGACACGAGAATTTTATGTATTAGATTAAAAAGAAACAATATTCCACTTTTTAGTTCCTCGGCGTAAAATTTACCTTCTTGGTCTCAATCCTAGACACCATAATTATAATTTTAAGAACTTTGTCTCGATTAATTACAGGGAAAAGTGGTAATGCACGATCCGTTCGCAATGCGGCCATTCTTCGGTTACAACTTTGGCGAGTATCTCCAACATTGGCTGTCGATGCCGCGAGCTGGTCGCCAGATGCCTAAGATCTTCCACGTTAACTGGTTCAGGAAGGACCAACAGGTATTTTCAAATAGTTAAATAAGTATTTAATCATTCAAAATAATTTGCAAAATTTCAAATAATTATACCATCAAGGGCTGTTGGCTTAGTTGCTTCAGCGTGCTACTCTCATCCCTGAGGTCGTAGGTTCGGTCCCCAGCTGTGCACCAATGGACTTTCTGTCTATGTGTTTTCTTCGCGTTTAACATTCGCTCGATCGGTGAAGGAAAACATCGAGAGGAAACCGGTTGCCTTAGACCCATTCGACGGCGTGTGTCAGGCACAGAAGGCTGATCACCTGCTTGTCTTTTAGATTTATATCATGAAACAGATACAGAAGTCTGAGGCCCAAACCTGAAAAGATTGTAGCGCCACTGATTTTTTTGTACCATCAAAAGCTGTCAACGATTATTAATCTAATTATTATAAAATCAGGCCAATTTCCGGAGTTTCTAATTTTTTTTTGTATTCTAGGGTAAATTCCTATGGCCTGGCTTCGGTGAGAACTCCCGCGTTTTGGACTGGGTTTTACGTAGATGTGATGATGAGCAGTGTCACGTGGAGACACCATTAGGCTTTGTGCCAAAACCCGGAGCTCTTAATTGTAGTAACCTTGGCGACATCAATATGAACGAATTGTTTAACATTCCTAAGGATTTCTGGTTGCAAGAGGTAGGTTCATTTGTTTCTCCATCCTATTAGCACATAATACAAAATCAAGAGAAATAATAAACTAAAATCTGTAAGGAGAGTTTGAATAGATTTTTTGATAAATTAATCTTAGCGGTTTGATTTTTACGATACTAAACGATAGTTATATTTATATCTAACAGAAAATGTTGTATGGTTGATATATATATATATATATATATATATATATATATATATACTAGCAGACCGGCCAAGCGTTGCTGTGGCTAAAGTTTTTGTTATATTACATAGTAGCAAACTATTCAAGGTCAACAGTAGGAGACCACCAGTCATGGGGACCACCATGTTTTTTTGGTGGTTATGCCATTAAATTGTAGCTTATGTGAAACGTTGGTTCTTTCAACACAGCGCCATCTGTTAAAATTGTGGCTATCAAATAATAAACTAATATTTTGCAATAAAATAATATTGCGTGTATAAATTGAGATGTAAGCTATCCTATCTTTTAAGTTGGATCAAACTACACACGGTGTGAAAATTTGATTGATATCGGTTTGGTAGTTTAGGAGTCCATAGCGGACAAACAACGTGACACGTAATTTATATATATTAAGATATATAAAAAATGCATATAGCTGTTAAAATCGAAGTCAAATGAAAAGTCTAAAGTTCCATAGTTGTTCCTATCACGCTTTGTAATCGATTTTCCTGTAGTTTTATGATTTCGATGTATTGTTTTTCTTTTCGTGTTTGTTATGTTTGACTATAAGTGCTCGTCACATTAAATTTTGTATTATATTTTTCTTAAGTATCAGTGTGCCGACATTGGCAAGCTATTGTAAATAAATAAATTACCATTGGAAATATTATTTACATAAAAATATTTTTTCAGGCTGACGCGATAGAAAAATACTTTAAGGAAGAAGTGGGTGAAGATTTACCGAACGAAATGTGGGACCAACTGATGACACTCAAGAAAAACATTCAAAAATCATAGACAATACTGCGATACCAAAGACAAGTTTATATGCAACGATAAAATATAATTAATCAGCCCAAATCCAGTAACTACAACTATGTCGTCACATTTTAATATTTATAATACTTTCATGTTTATTGTATTCTATATTATTAACAAGAATATTGTTTTGTATTTTAACAGATCTCTAGTCTTTTCTTATTTGGCAAAATTACGAATTATGTGGCTGTGTTAGATTAAGAAATACATTTATAGATATAAGATTTCTAAATAAACTTATTTTAAATGAAAACAATGTTTTAATTACTAACTAACCACATAATATAGCTTCATTTAAACTACAACTACACGTTAACATAACAGTGACAAGACGATATAGCAATGCACAAAAGCAATCTTGCAAATTATTTGGTAGATTCCAAGCACTTGAAGCCATCGTTAACAAAAATCTAGTAACTGTAACAATAAGAACTGCAATTTTTGATATAGACCTAATATGCAGAACATTTGATAAAAAGTATTCGCATTTAGTTGGTCTATGGTTAGAAGTATATAAAACAATTGCATGGTTGCGATTTAAAAACAAGAAATTAAAACTTCGCCTAGTAGCATCTCTTTCATCACTCTCTCTCTCATCCTATTTAAGAATGTGAATAGTTCGATACGATATGATATGATTGTCATAAATTGAGAATAAACCTAACAAATAAAAGTATATTATGAATGGCGCTAAACGCCCAAGCGAAAGCAGCGACAAGAGAAAAACTTCATTTATATGTCATAGAGTAAATATAGACTATAGAAATAGTGCGCCTCCTTACAAAAAATAATAAGGGTAACCCTTTAGTGATACAATTTTCGTGGCAATACAGACCTTTACCAACTATTTATCAATAAGGCGTTTTAAAAACATAAAAAATTTAACTAACGCCGTTAGATGCCTTAAAGTTAAATGTATTATAATTAGTAAGTTCTATCATTATTCATTCCTTCATTCATAAATCATAAATAGATATATAAAACTAAAATTAAGAAATTTTATTTATTTTTCTAGACAGCTTAATTCATGTGTTTGGCGGAGAATACACGAACGCCATCTTGGGTGGACGCACGTGCATGTTTCGTCAGCAAAGCGTTGACGTTCAGCTTCTCAGTAGCATATGACCTTTAAAAATCATAAAACTTTAGAGAGATAATTTACTTAATAACTACATTCATCAATGGTACTTCAGTTAAACCTAAATGTTAGTATTATTATTTATTATGTATAAGAGATTAAAATATGTAATACAAAATGAAAACATATAGATACACAGTCAAAAACGTACATTAAGAAAAAATTTCTGGTATATAAAGGAACCTTTGAAAAAATGAGATGCCATGAATATCATTCAACTTTAAACAGCGCGGCCATTAGGCAACTATTATACTATAAATACCAACGTGTGTCTATAATTGTATGCCACGCTTACATTCGTAATATTGTTAGAAATTAAGAATTTTATATTTAAAACTAGACATGTGAAGTTGTCAGTACACAGCGTTATATCGCATATAACGGCAATATAGTGGCAAGTGTGAAACCTGGTAACTTACTGTATGTATGGAGATATTTCGTCAACCGTCCACTTAGGTTTTGTGTGGAATAAAATCCTGAACCTCTCATTGATATCTTCCGGTAGTTCATTCTCGGAGAAACCCCAAATTACTTGCGGAGTGACATTTTTGTCTATTAAGGCTATGCCCGATAGAAGTGACTCCTGAAAAAAATACATCATTTTTGTGTTACAAAACTTGATAAGAAAAAATAACTTAAAGATCGTAAATCAAACAAAATGATGGGTTTGATTCCGATGTCCAACGGCGATGACATTTTCCTATATATTTTATTTCCATGTGATGTTAAATAGTCGAAGGGTATGGTCATAAGAAAGTTCCTAACTGTGTTTTCTTAAGTAAGAATTGCGCGGGATCCAATACCCTAACCCTATGTCTATTTCGTATTAAACTTTTTGAAGTGAAACTTCTTTAGGCGCATGAGGGTAAAATGTTTACAGACCTCACGAAGATTTGCAGCCTTTTTCGGCAAAGAAGAGAGATTGAGAGAGAGTTAGAAGAGTAACCTTATAGAAATTCTATTTTTAACATTAAAATTTCGTAAAAAGAATTTATTAAAATATACCAATTAGCATTTCATATTTTATGCAAAATAATTTATTGAAATCTGAAATGACGAATTGTAAATTAAAAAGCCACGTGTTTTTATTATTGAAGAAAAAAATATTAGGTATTTGTATTAATTTTCGACACTTAATATTTTAATGACAATTAAATTCCTAGCATATCTTCCTTTTTCAGCCCTCTAAGTCTCGGAAATCTAAAGTTTTAGATTTGTATAAATATGAACAAGACTTAAAAATTAGCTTGCCAAAGAAGTTTAAGTTCTGATATGTGTACTTTGTACGCACGCACTTTTTTAAATAAACACATTAAAATATAATACATACGTTTGTTGTCATCCCTTCTGGTACCGAATCGCTCCATGCTTGCATAAATTCAAACAAATTGAATCTACCAGCACTTCTTAAGAGAACTCTTGCTAAAAATCTACACACTTTATCCTCTTTATACCTATAGTATTGGACGCCCATTTCTTCAGCACTTTTCAGTGTGTAAAAACCAAACATTGCTTCCAAAACACACATCGGAGCCAAATCTTTTAAGCTATCCAATGTGACTTCTTTAGATACTCTGTCCAAAGGCCAGGAATTCTCTTCAATGAGGTCCAACATGTACGAAAGGACCCGAAATTCATAATCAAATTCTAACAACCTATAATGCCCATCGACCTCTATCGCTTGTATATTTGTCAACTCCTCATCCAATTCTACTCGAGACGCCTGGACCTTATGCAAAATCGCTTTATAATCTAGCAATTTCGATTTATCTATTTTATATTCGAGTTCTAAACCCTGAAATGTAGTACTTTCTAGAAGCTTCGAGAGTTTTGAAAGACGCGGTTTACAAGGTTTCAATTCGTAATAAGTGAAGAATGTGTTAACAATGTCTTTATTTACAATTTTTCTGGGTGGTTTATCATCAGAATCGTTGGATATGTTCAAACTTGTATTGGATCTTTCGAAAGATGAATCAGAATCTTCCATAGAATTATTTGCGATTGTTTCGTCGAGACCTGTGGAAGCCGCGAAAAGTAGGTTGGGTACGAGTAAAAAGCTGTTAGATGTCTCTGCTTCTTTGACGTCGTAGGTTTTATTATCTGTACATAGTACCACATTCTCATCTGGATCCCCTGAAAATATAATTTCTCCTTACAAATTTCCAAACCTTGTTTAGTAAGGAACTTTTAAATGCTTATTATACAAATATCACAACTATTTCATTTTAATATGCTATCTTAAAATAAGACTTTTCGACTGCATGGCTTAATTGCTCAAAACCTAAGTATTCAATGCGTTTTCCCCACAGATCCAGGGTTTGATTTCAAGCAAAACAATCATCATTTTGGATTAGACTGACTTTTTGTTTGCTTGAAAATAAATAAACTAAATATTTAATACGTTCAAACAATACCTTTAAATACAATGGGATTGCCCTCTTCTATATCTTTTAATATATTATTATCTAATAGCATAAGCCTTAAGTTATTATTGCGTTGGCTGGCTTCTGGGAATCTAAGAATCTGGGTAATTTCGGTTAGTTCGGATTCGTGTAACTTCGCAGTTTTTATTACTTTGCGGACGTCTTCAGGGGTCCTCTCTTTACTGTAGAAATCAAATATTATTGGTCATAAGATAAAATGTAACAACTTTATTTTGTATTATAATAATGAGGAAAGGAACATCTGTTTTGTAAATAAAACACCTCAAATTATATAAAAAACCGTTCAAGGAGTCGGCTATTTAGAAAATTAAACCGACACCCCCGACTTTACCAATAATGCAATGCATTTCGTTACTTCGGGAATTCTACAATGAGTTGGGACAAAAATATAACGCATGATGCTGACGAACAAACAACTTAACCCTTCCCTTTTGGAGGGCATTTTTGGAATTGTGATTTTAAAATTTCAAGGAATATTTATTTGGCAACCCTCGACTGTCAATAGGACAAAGCTCCTTGACAATAAAAAAATAATAGACAATAATACAACGATGACATTCACTCTGAGATTCAAATATTATATTTGTGACATTCTATTTGACAGTTCTTCACGATAAATTTCTGCGTGATTCCAATATCACGAACGAATACAGTTTTGTTTAATTTTAGTGAATTAAGCAACGAAAATGTCTTTATTTGGAGATATATTACCGATTAATAAAAATGAAAGCCAAAATAATCAGGCCAGTGCAAATCTTTCTCCCTATTTAAACTTTGATCCCAACTACATACCTAAAATGCAACCAGAGTTTCTATATCCCGATGAGAGCCATATGGCCTCAACAGCACGAAGATCAAACGTAGCATTACCAATCATTGGAATGTCTTTCATGACTGGATCAGGTAAGCTATGAATTATATGCAGTGTGAACATAACCTCAAACATTGACTTTACATAACTTTTGTTATTGATTACTTAGTTTACAGTATGCTGGAATTGTGTGATATCAAATACTAAAAACTTATTCTATCTTTGTTTCGGATAATGAGCTTAAAATTTTCTCTCAATCATACTCCTTTGTATGATATTAATTAAATTTTCCTTTCAGGTTTGGGAGGCATGGCTGGTCTTTACAAAGGATTAAGAGCGACAACATTAGCTGGACAAATTGGCAAAGTAAGGAGAACACAGCTTATAAACTATATAATGAAGCAAGGTTTGTCTTTTTATACTAAATAATTAATATTTTGGTAAAACTAATTGAGTCATATAATTAATACAAATTTTTCTTATGAGATTATAGTATCTCTCAATTGCTAAGGTCTTGAAATTGCCTTTAAATTGTATTCTAATTACAAATCTGCTAAATATTTTTTAATTGCTCAAAACTAAAATCTGTTTCAGGCACAACAACTGGCTGTACCCTAGGCATATTAGCTTCATTTTATTCAAGTATAGCCCTGGGTGTAACTTGGATTAGGGACCAAGAAGATACCGCAAATACCTTTATAGCTGCCACAGCTACAGGTGTTTTATATAAAAGTACTGCTGGTTTGCGCTCAATGGGCTTAGGAGCAGCTGCAGGGCTTACATTAGCAGGCCTTTACACCCTCCTCACTGATAATGATAATATTTGGAGCAAAGCTAGATATATGAAAATGTGATTTAGTTGTAATAGAACCCAGAGGTTGTTGTTTATAAATGTAGTCAAGATAATTTTAAAAATGTAGTAAGTAATATATATAAATAATGTTATGCAATTGTTTCACAATTATATTCTAATTGTATAAGTCACTCTTATTTTTAAAATCTTATATACATATTATATTAATTAAAGTTTATTTTATTGTTCCTTAACTCGACTTACATTTCTATAACTGTTAGGTATTAAATTGTATACCATTGTGTACATTTATAAACAACTCTACCTATCTTGTGAATTCTGTACATAGACTGTTAATTTAAGTTATTTTAATTGGCACTCTGAGATCTGTCAAGTTGATGACTTGTTTGCTCCATGTCAAAGCTTGCTAGATCATTTTTATCACCTGAACCAATCATATGTTCCATATTGGTACAGGTAGCACAATTAGATAATAAAAGAATTTATTAAAAATTGACAGCATTTTATTATTTAAAATTACATTATAGTTCATTTTTGTAGTGAAATAATTTTCTGTAAACATTCACTGGTCAATAACTTAGTTTTATGGCTGGTTAAACTATTTTTTTTAGGTTGAACATAATTAACACATAGAATACATGGAAGTAGCAAAATTTTCAGACTAAGCTGCAGCCATATTTGGGCAGAATGATGCATGTCATATTGTTGGGTATTTTAGTTATATAATTAAGACTAAAATATTTATTCCTCTTACATGATATTTATAGCATTTACTCGAAAATAGTGGAGAGTAAAAGTTTTGATCCATCTGTTAATGATTGAGCAAATGATACTTAAATAAACATTCTTCAGTGCACTATTACATAAGATCTTTTACAAATACATTACATTAGTTATCTTTAAAAAATGATGGTACAGTATGTAATTCTTTTTTCTGAAGTTTTGTCTCAAGTTACATTTCCAACTAGATGTACCGGTAGTAGAAAATGTAACTGTAAATGTTATACAAACAAATATTTTATAGACATACCAGGAATATTTTACTTACATTAAGAGTAAAAATATAATTGCACAGTGCTGTATAAAATATATTTCTCTATAACACACTATAGTGAAATTGAGAATTTTTGACCTCATAAGAATATCATATTTGTTTACTAAGCACACTAAACTGTTATTAAGTTTGGCCTAATTAAATTAACACATTTTTTAATTTATTGTTGTACAAATAAATTGGCATCATTTTAGAACTAACATCACTTCACTTCACTTTATTTATAATGGTGACTTCTGTGTAAATCACAATTACGCCAATGTCGCGTTCTAAGTCTTCACTCGGTGAGGAAAGATTTGATAAGATTGAATTTAATCTAAGCAGAGTTACCCAAAACAAAAATGACATCACAATAAAGACAACACACACAGACATCTAATAATATATACAAGAGGTTAACATTATACTACAAGGTATGGAGGGGAGAATCTTATTTATAACTTTAATTTATTAACAGAAATTAAAGTAATTCTCATATCAACTAAATTTGTAGTAGATAATTCTAAATATCTCCACATAAATCTATTTGAGTATCTAATTGAAAAATATTTTACGTTGGGATCTAATTATTATTGTGAATAATTGCACTGTCCTTAACTTTGGCTGGACTATACACATGAAGCAATAAACGAGAGCCGTAGATGAATGCTGCACTCTCGCAGTTCCGAGGTGCAGCAAGATGTGTGTCACGTTGCCGCATTTAAAATAGCCTTCATATCATCTTGAAGAACACAATTTAAATCATCTAACCTCCGAGCCAGTAATGTTCGTGTGTTGTCTGCTACTGGTGGATTATTTTTTAACACATCACGCAGTTTAAGTACCATGTCAACAATTTCAACCTCTTTCTTCCCGACTGACCATTCTTTTAAGTCACTTTCTGCTAAGGCTTCTAATTGCAAAGCTTGTAATTTATTTGTTAAATCACTATGACGCTCATGAAACCAGGTGCTAAAGTTTGGTGTCCTAAAAAAATGTTTATATAATCCTATCCAGTCACCTTTAATGCCAGATGTCAATTGAGGACCTGCTTGCTGCAGAGATGTGAAGAAATCTTCTGGATTAAATGGATTAGGTACTGGTGGTGATCTAAACGGAGATATGTTTTTCTGCAATGGCATGAGGGATGCCATATAACGTTCAAGTGGGATCATAAAGCTTTGTGTTAGTTCTAGTAAATGCCTTTTAACCATTGCTGTCTGAACTTCAGAAGGACGGTCTGTCCTTATTCCATTATGCAACTTCTTGATAATTGCCTTATCTTTCTCTAAATAAGGTTTGTACTGAGTGTATACCCCTGGTGCAGAATCTAAATGTTTAATACTTCCTAGTTTCCTCAACTTAGTTTTAACAGGGGTTGAATCACCTAGTTTGATTGTATGCGGCCAGTGCTGCAATGTCTTAGTGAAAAATGGATTTGTCACACCTAATATTACATAGGGTGGGTTGAACTGTTTTCTAGTAAATTCCTTAAATTCACTATCATGTATTGTAAAGTAAGGTCGGTATTCTGCCGAATATGGAAGTGGCTGTATCAAGTAGGTCAATGCTTGGACTAAAGCTGAACATTCTGTGGGTGAACTAGCCATAACAACTATGGGTTCTGCAGTCAATACTAGCTCCCATAGTAAATGCAGGTGAGATATTAAACTTGATAGAGCATCAAAAACATTAACATCTTGAATACATACTATTATGTGTGGAACATTGGGGGAATGCACTTGTTTCACAATATCTGATCTTGTAACCTTTCCAGTTTGCTGATTAGGAATATATGACTGAAAAACAGAGCCTAAGACTGGCAATAGAATGTTTTGACCCGCATTCAACTCTGGCCATCTATTTATGTCATGGCATGCAGCTTCCAAGCTGCTTTCACCATCTTCAAAATGTCGAGGAGCTATAAGCTGTATCACTTTGTAATACAGGTTAATAAAGGGCAAACGCGTAAGCAAAATAATGCTCTTTTGGAAGTAGCCCCGAGGCAAGGTCGAATCCTTAACTTGACGAAAATAAACGAAGCCCCAGTAATGCGTTGGGTCTGCTCGGAGCGTAGAAACGCTGTCCTCGTTATAAATCAACTGTTGCGGTGTTAGTGGAGCACGTGAACGCAGTCGTACGTGAAATTGAGTATCACCCATGCATCCTGAGTTTGAATCCGGGAATGCTAAATAACAAATGTTACATTTCTCTTGATCAGATAATTGCACACCAGGCGGATATACTCTTTCCATAGCCTGCCCTAGTTCCAAATCGAATGTAACAACACAAATACAATGCAACCAGTCGGAAAACCTGCTCCATTTCGCTTCAAATTCTTCATCACAAACGAAAATGTCGTCCGGTTGTTGTTTTCCACAAGCCATTGCGTTTAGAATATTTTACAACATTGCCAATGTAGTTAAGTAAAATTTAAAAATATATTACGACCAAAGGATTGTTTGTTTTATCAAACATTATTTTATTTTATACGACGGTATGAACAAACGCTAAATTATCTACTATTTCACTTTCTGTTGCACGCATAACAGCTGTTCTTCTGTCAACATGGCTGCGCGCGCGAAAATACAATGAGTGAATCGCAATCGGTGATTGGCACATGTACATTTACTTTCAAGTTACAACAATTAACGGCCTTATTAATTATAAATTTACTCTAGTTCACTTACCAAATATCCATATTTGTAGTTGAGTTTGAAGTTAAAGATATTTCAATCACTATAAATTGAATATAAACTTCTTATTTTTAAAATTACTGTATACTATTTCTATCCACTACTTGTTTACCTCGAAGTTATACTCGAAATGTCATTTGTCAGTTTTAAAATTTAACTATATTTTGTAAAGTATATACAGAGTGCATCATTGTGTGTCACTATAAGTTGTTGAACAATTAATTTCCTTTGCCTTTCCCATCAGGGATAAATTAATATCATCATTTTGAACAAATTACACTTTAGTTGTTGACTTGTCCTATGTAAGGATCCATTTATCTTATCAGAAAAGAAAATATAGGTTAATAAAAAACATTTTATAGGAATCCACTCGTATTTAGCTAGATTTATTATCATCCAACATGATAATAATTCTGATAAAAACATAATTCAATGCCAAATTCCAGGAACTATTATATTATATGAACAGGAACTAGGAGACTAGGAAGAATTAATTAAAATTTACACATTGAGGACAATATTATGTATTTATTTAAAAACCAAAAGTACAATTTCCGAGACAAATCTTGCCAATATGACAGACAGTCTTGTTACAATTATATCAACGTTTTTATTAAAACAAAAAAAAAACGCCAGGCACGGCAAACATCAGCTCCCTGTCACCAGTCTTATTCATAAACGTACTTTAAGCCCTATAACGGCTAAATAATGTTTTATACAGTTTATTTGATTGCAAAATGACGCGAGGGTAAGAGTTAAGGGCAAAATATTTGAAGAGGTTTATTGTACGTTTATAAACAAGGGGATATACCACACGTAGGTATTAAGTACTTAATATTGTAAGTTCTCGCTCCCAAGCAACGTGTTTATTGTCTCTTGAAAGGATGTGAAATATAATAGTGCATAATTTGTTAGCTTAAAAGTAAATTTTAATCATAAATAAAATGACAAACCCAGATATTTCAAATTAGGTAAGGTCCTCAAACAATGATAATGTTTTAGCTACAAGATTAGTGAAATAAAAATTTAACATAATATGGAAAATATTCTCAAAATATTGCAGGTTTTCGATAGCTTTATCATAGTGTTTTTTTCTGAAACAGCGAAAGCCGACGTACACAATATTCTTTCATTTTAGTAATTTTAATGTGACCAATACTAGAATATATATTATTGAATTAGTAAGCATGAAATGATATCTTGAGATGGATAATCACAGTATTCACAAGATCTTATCTATGAACATTAATATTATAAGAGAAACTAAAAGATAACAATGCGAAATCATCTACTTTATAAGACCAACAGTTTATTAACTCTTCGATTTCTTACATTACTTTAAACAAACATTAGAAAAAAAAGTTGACAGCACCAAAATGCGTTCATGATAATAAATACTTACGGGCACAATATCTTTTCTAGGAAAACTTATATGCTAAACCACGAATATAAGAATAATTTTAAAACAAAAATAATCGTGTAAATAATGAATGTAGAAAAAAAGTGCTTTAAAAAAATAAATTCTCTACTAAAACAATTTACGACACACATTAAACTAGAAGACATGACTTGATGTAGTTTTAAGCAGCAATGTCAAATATGCTTATCACGCTAGACACCCCAAAAATACGCCTAAAAGTACCCAATACGGTTGTTCATATATTTTGACAGTAGTGACAAATTAGGAATTAGTCGGCTTACGTAGTTGAAGACATCAAAACAAGCATTTCAATGTGCTACTTCTGACGTACATATGAACAAACAGTATGTAGCAAGCCCAGATAAACATTTAACAAAATACACACTCCTTTCTCTTCAATAGATGTCAAACTGTTAAACTTGGCAAGATATTATGGGGTTGGGCATACATCATGTGTAATTTTTGATGTCAAAGACTACTCCCCTTCTATACCCAATTATATAGAAGTTACCTGTACTTTAGAAATGGTAATATTGTTTTGTTTCATTATGGCGGTAGGCAAAAAAAAATAGAATTTAAATTTGATGACAAGTTTCAACGGTCATGATTTGCATTCATTTGTTACAGTCCAATAATTTAGTATAATAGACGCATATATTCAGCACAAAGGAATGTCTGTATCATTGGCATTTTCACATTTTCTCATACTGAACAAGTAGGACTGCATTTTTATGAAATAATTTTAACCTGCCCGAAGGCAACTAGATTACATTTTCTATCTATTGAATGAAATTATTGTCTATGACTAACGAAATGTCTCAAGGCGTATGTGCGATTTGACCGAACTAAAACCTAACGGAATCTCCCAACTAAACTCGAAAATAAGTTTGCGCAATGTAGTAACTAAATATGAATAGACAGAATTAAGAATATTATGTGTAACAATGCACTAATCTTGTATTTTTTTAAATGTTTAAACATATTATCTAAATCGGGAGATGCCATGCTACTTTAATCGCCCAAAACGCCATGTTCAAAAAGTATTGCCATTAAAAAAAACTAATTTTATTATTGCCACGTCGAATTACTGGCAACATTGGGGTTAGGAAATGCGTTTGGGAAACCTTGACCTAAATTAAGATTGCCGAACTGTTGCGAAAGGGGCTGGTTGAAAAAGTTTGGCTGTGTCTGGAACTGTGGCTGCGGTGGCATTTGATACTGAAATTGGCTAGCTGGTTGAAATTGGTTCATTTGCATACCATTCATCATATATGGCTGATAGAACTGGCCAGGAGGTTGTTGGCCTGGTATTTGTTGTCCAGGTAGTTGTTGCCCGGGTAGTTGTTGGCTTTGCATATGTTGCATTTGTTGACCTGGAATTTGTTGCATTTGTTGACCTGGCATTTGTTGGCCTGGTATATGTTGCATTTGTTGACCTGGAATTTGTTGCATTTGTTGACCTGGAATCTGTTGCATTTGTTGACCTGGAATTTGTTGCATTTGTTGACCTGGAATCTGTTGCATTTGAGGTACTGGATTAAACTGGTTCATAGGTGTTTGACTGTATAACGCTAATATGCTATCCTTAGTAAGTTTAGACTTTTCTTTCTCAGTAGGTGCAGATTGTTTGAAGAAATTTTCTTCTTCTGTTTTCAAATCTGATTTTTGTTCTTGCGGTACCTGAAATTGGATATTGATCTTTATAAGAGTGTCATATATTTCGAAGAAAACATACTATATATTAATTAATTCTTAACCCGTTACTGATTGTTGTAAAGCCCGCAAATCGTAATTAAACGTGTTTTAAAGACAATTAAAGTAAATCTGAACTGAGACTTAAAAACGCAAAGGAAATTTACAATTCGATATGTATTTATTCTTAATTTTAAAAGACTTTAATCTAAGAGGTCTGAATATAGTATATTTCATTACAAGTGCGGAAAGCCTGTTTGCAAAGAGTTTCGACAAATGTCTACCCGAGCCGAGGCGCAGCCGAAGGTGAGGGTTGACAGTCGGAACAAGTTGCAATGACGGTTCCTCACGTGTACTGAACAACTATTTTTAATACAGTATTATATTTTATAAACAATTATTGTTCACATATACATTGGTACAGTTTTTTATACTAACTGGAGAAGTTTTAGGTTGCATATTTATTTACTGTTTGAGACAAACTATTATTTATTTCGTATGATTTTTCATGTATATTTAATATATAATAAAACAAACAACTAAACGCGCAAAGAACATTTTTGGAAAATGGCGCCAACCGTAAAAGAATATAAGCAGATATTTTTTTTTCTTCACCCATTCTGGGTAGGCAAAGGGAACTATACCCATACAGCCAAGTCTTCAGTACAATTTTTTATTGATATGAAATGAAATTTAAGGAGATGAAATGAAATCTAACCTAATTCATTGAATCAAATCATTAAATCTTATATTGAAACAAAGCAGTAGCTTCTTTTTAGAAATATTTGCATGAATCATAAAAATTTCTATGAATTTTTTTTAGTAAAAACTTCGTGGTTGGTTTTTTCTTTTTAATAGACATTATTTTGACAGTTGGGAAAGAAAACGCACTAGTTCGGAAAAGGTAAAAAAAAAGAACGAGTGTGTAATAGCCACTTTTTGAGCAACTGTATTAAAAAAGTATTTTACGCTTATTCATAATTAATATACTTTGCGTAAAACGCTACTTAGGGAGCGTTCAAGTATTACGTAACGAATTTTGGGGGGGAGGTCAGTTTGTAAAACGTTACGATGCGGGGCGGGGATTGAATTACGCGTTATTGTTAAAATTATTTTCGACTTTCCAGTACTTTACACCACATAATAGTAACTTTTAGGTATAAAGAGTCACTAGATGGTCACGAAACGTTTTACTATACTTGGGTACAGAAAAACGTTACGGTGCGTTACATGGGGGGTCCAATAATCTCAGGTCAGAGCCTTTATTTTTAAATTAAGTGACATATGCATATGGTAATACACACAAAACATTTGCATGGTGGTGTTGTAGTTACAAAAATCTGGTATCACAAAGGTGATACCAGATTTTTGTAACTTATATTTGTCATTTTATTCAATTATTTTTCACAAACTAATTATAATAATACATACCTCAGCCGGTTTTTCTGGTGCCGAGAAGAAACTTGAGAAAATATCATCGTTAGTACTTTTCTGCTCTGGTTTAGTCGAGGGTATGGCAGTGTCCAAACCCAGCAGATCAGCTGCACCATTACTCGGTTTGGTTTCAACTGGTGTATTTCTACTCAATTTGGGACTGACCGACGATTTGGGTTTAGGTATACTGGGGATAACGTCAGATTTCTGAAATTTAATAATTATGACTTAGTTTTTTGTAACTAATATATGGCAAACGTCGTTTTGCCATGTATATCATTTATAATAATAAATAGGGGTTGATCGTAGAGGGGTGAAAATTAGGGGTAGTATGTATTTTTTAATGCTGTATCATAAAAAAATTAAAAATAAAATAATCTAAAAATTAAAAAAAAAAAATTATTTAGGGGTGGACTATTCATTTTTCATCCCCTTAAATGTTAAGGGGATGATGTTCGATTCTCAGACATACCCAATATGCACACAAAATCTCCTGAGAATCGGTCAAGTTTCGGAGGAGTTTAACTACAAACACCGCGACACGAGATTTTTATATATTAGATTATTATCACGTTTTAATAAAGGTTAGAAAAATATATAGTTTTACTTACGTTATATTTTTTATCAACAGATGGCGCGGGCAATGGTCCCAGAGAGGAAGTGGTCGCTTTCTTTTTCCTCTTTTGCCTATCTATTTCTTCATCTATCTCTTTATCCCTATAAATAAAATTATATTTATAAGACATTATTTAACAATACAATACAGATAAATACTATTTTTTAGAATATATATAATAATTAATTTTTAATAAAAAATATTTAGACATAAAAGATTATTTTTATTTTTTATGAATATATATTTATGTCTGACTACAAAAGCATCTGTGGCTTGTATGTTCGATTTCGGCAAACAATAATTGTTTCTGGTTAAAAGTTATAGAAGCCTAACTATTTTCAATCAAAATTATGCAAAAACAGTATTGTCTAACAGCTTTACTGGTGTCTTAATACTTTTAGGGGGCGTCCATAAATTACGTGAGGTGTTTTAGGGGGGGAGGGGGTCGAGTCAAATCTCATTAAATCTCACGTTGGAGAGAGGGGGGGTCTCGGCAAATATCACGCAATTTTTTTTCTGATTGAAAAAAAAATTTGGAAAACGGTTGACCCTAAATGCCACCTCTGCAACATCTCGCTAACTCCACACCTAAACGCTCAGTTTTTAGCTCTTCGAGCTCAAAAGTACGAATTTGAAATGAATTTAGAAAGTCAGTAAGAATTTATGAAAGTCTGATAGAAGTTTGATAAAACAGTATTTTTTGAATTTTCAAACCACAATAACTTTTGAATAAATGAACCGATTTTTACGCGATTGGTGGCATTCGACGCAGTTTTTGAAACCTCATAACGGATTTTTAAGTTAAAAATCGATCGAACGACGCGCCAGTGGCAGCGACACACGGACATGTTCCAACATGCTTTGTTTATTCTTGTAAATGTTTTACTCGACTCAGTGCATTCTCTTACTAATTTAAAATGAGTTATCAAGATTTTTATAACGCATACGTCAAAAGATACGTCTATAAGACGAAGAAGTCCTGCCAGGACGATGTGATACAATTATGGAATACAGCGAAGCAAAAATTCCCGAAGAAAGAAGAGTTAATACATCACATTGAACATGAGATTGAACGGCTTCTCAGGGAAGCCACTGAGAGAAAAGTTCGGTCTACTTTAGCATTCCTTAAAAAAGTAGGTTAAATATTTTTTTTAAATACTTTTTTTATATAAAATTGTTACAATATTTAGGAAGTCCTTTCGCTCCAGTTGAGTCACAACAACTGTAGTAGTCAATATTCGATAAATTAAAATAAAGAATCCATACAAATTCCTAAAATTAAAAAATTAAAATTATGATAAATGAGGCATTAATAGTTGAAATTTTGAAAATTAAAAAAAAAATAGTTAAATACAAAAATTAGTTTGGCTCTTTTAAATCAGCTGTTAGTAACCTGTCCGTGATTTGGCAACGCTATATTTCGGTTGTTACATTTTCATTTGCACAATATAATCTAAACCATGTAAAGTTTTTGTCAATGCAAATAAATAAATTAATTAAAACTGTTAAATTACAAAACTATAACATTCTAATATGTCTCATGGCAGGAATGCTAGTACATATTTTTTAATTATTGTTTTATTTTTCAATTATGAAATATGAAAATTTGTTAACAATAAATTAACTTATAAGTATGTATGAAAAACATATTAGTGCATTGAAGTTTAGTTTGAATTTATTGAATGGTCTGAAGCTCGCGCGCTTCGCAACGTCGCCAAATGTTCTGACGCCATTTAAATGCAGATTACTTTAAAAAAATCTGTTATTTTATAATTTTAATTTCTCTATAAATTCCCTATAGATTTTATTGCAAAAAATCAAAACTGAATATTTCGAAAACCTTATTTTGCGTTTTTTTACCCCATCTTAAATCAATGGTTAATGCCATAATTCGAGAAAGTTGTTTTAGGTCTGACTTTCTCGTTTATAAAGACTCAAAATATTAACATTTTTAATTTTTTTTTTAATTTGCATGGTGAAGAATAAATTAAACTTCATTAAGTAGATAAATTAGGACTTTAACTATTAGATAAAAATTAATTTTAATATGCATAATCTAATATTTTTTATTTAACATTGATGGCGAAAGGACCTCCTTCATAGCATTAAAAAAACTGAAACAGTGAAATTCTTGATAAAATATGCTAAAATCATAATACTACAAAATATTAGCGCGGTCATTTCAACTGTTTTCACATAATTCAATATTTCTTAATTTTGTGTTAATCTATCTTTATAATTTATTAGATTTATTTCTTAATATTATGATGCTTTGATTTCAGACTAACACTAAGATTTCTAACAGTTCTTCGAATCAGGCTGGGACAAGCACTGAGAGTGTTCCAAACGTGGAATGTGGAGGTCGTCTTTCTTTCTATAGGTGACGTTTTCTTCATTTTGTCCTATTCTAAATAAAAGTTTTCTGCATTTCACAGGCGCTTCGAAACGGAAAAATCTGCCTCTTGTGATCAGAGATGATGAGGATGAAGCTATGACGAACACTACACCATCCAACGTACGTCCCACTCCAGCACAAGATACTATGAAGAAAAAGATTACTAAGCTGCATATGGAGCTTGACTTAACGGAAAGGCGCAAAAGGTCTCTTGTAGCTGACGGCACTGAATTTGATAAAGCATGTAATTTGCGGCGAGAAATTGACATTTGTGAGAAGAAGCTCAAGCTTAAAGAAAAACAAAGAGTGTACTCTATGACGCACAGAACAAATAGAAAACAAGCAATAATTGAACTATGTTCAAAGAATCCCGATGCAGCTAAGTCGTTGACGCCCCGTGCTGGCCCTGGACGCCCACGTTTAGAAAAAGAACAGTCTGATTTGCTAAAAACAATAAGTGATTTAGCCCTGTTTGGTGCTTCTGCTGAAGAGCGTCGTCGTTGTGAGATAGTTCGCACGGTCCATACGCTATCAGAACTTACAAATAAACTAAGCGAGCTGGGATTTAATATTTCACGAAGTGCTACTTATATTCGACTGTTGCCTAGACGGGCAAATACACGAGAAGCTAAGCGCCATGTAGTGACTGTGCCGGTGAAGCTGAGTCGTCCTGAAGCTGACCATCATAAGGCACACCAAGACCAATACTTTTCTGTGGCCTCCATAAGGTCGCTGGAAACGATAGCCTCGGTACTTGGTCCTGACTCCGTAATTTTTTTATCTCAGGATGACAAAGCCCGCGTCCCCATCGGCCTGACAGCGGCAAACAAGCAGGCGCCATTATTAATGCACGTTGCATATAAAGTGTCGTTACCAGACCACGACTTTGTGATTGCTTCGAGGCACAAATTAATTCCAAGCGTGTATGCTTTGTGTGAAGTGAGACCCAATGAGATGGGACGACCAGAAGCTGTTTCATATAGTGGACCAACTTACATAGCAATACGAAGTGGCAAGCACTCTTCGTCAACTGCAACTAGTCACGCTCAAGATTTGGACACTCTTTTAACAATTGAGCCTTTTTCCAAATTTACAAAAAATATAGACAGAAAAGTTAAACCTGTTCTTATAATTTCAAGCGACGGTGGGCCTGACGAAAATCCGCGATATCACAAAGTGATCGCACACGCCATAGCGCATTTTAAACTATATGATTTGGACGCAGTATTTATTGTGACTAATGCCCCTGGCCGGAGCGCATTCAACAGAGTAGAGAGACGCATGGCTCCACTCAGTCGAGAACTAACAGGCGTTGTTCTTCCCCATGATTCTTTTGGGACACATCTTGACTCCAGCGGCAGAACATTAAACGAAAGTCTGGAAAAGGATAATTTCAAAAGGCAGGGGATATTTTGGCTGAAATATGGTCTGCAGTGTGCATTGACGGACACGAAGTAGTCGCTGAATATATAGAGCCGAATAATGAAACTTCTAGCGTTCCAGACCTGCCAGCCGAAGAATGGTACACTGAGCACGTTAGAGAAAGCCAATATTTACTCCAGGTACATTAGCAGTTGGTTCATATCAAATTTCTATACGTGCCTAATTTTTTTTTTAAACGAGCACGAATATCAACAAATTTTTATTAAGAGTTATTAATTTTTTTTTTAGGTTGTAAAATGCGATGACCAGAAGTGCTGCAGCCCACGCCGGAGTGATCTGCATATGATTCTTCACGACCGTTTTCTGCCGCCTCCATACCCTATCACTCAAGTTGATGGACATTTGACAATTCCGGACTTTAAAGAGCATGACGGAAAGTCATTTGTTCCATTTTTAATACGCCACTGCCTACCGATTCAACCGCTGAATGCCTTCATCAGCACGCCTTATGATCTCTATTGCCCAAGTGTTCGTGATGATTTAGAGAAAAGATGCTGCAGTACATGCGGTATTTACTTTGCATCTAGCAAAAGAGCTACAGAGCACAGGCGATCAGCCCACATTGCACCAGCTAAGCAAGCGCGTATGTTCCGCAAGGTCCGACCCTCACGGATTGTCACAAGACGAGCTAATGAGTTACTGTGTGCAAGTGCCAATGGTTTAGAGTGGCTAGATCAGAACGAAGTTGAAGGAGCAGATGATTTTACTGAAAATCATATGGACATGTTGGTTCCAATAGTCTCTCTTGAGACCGCGCATGATTATCCATGGACTGAATTAGAGTAGATATTCTTTTTTTAATCACAGTAGTTACGATTTAAGTATTCTATTGTTAAATTTTTATTACACTTATAATTAAACTCTCAGCAATATTGATTACTAGTCTTAAATAAAAGCACGAAGCAAACTTTTTTTTCTTTTTACAATAACAATCCAACGCGTTTACGTAAGAAACCCACATTTTGAAAAACTCACGTGAGATTGGGGGATGGGGAGGGGGTTGAACAAAATCTCACGACATCTCACCAGGGGGGGAGGGAGGGTCAGAAAATTATAAAAAACACCTCACGTAATTTATGGACGCCCCCTTTACTTCCTTAATAAATAAATATTTTTTCAACTATAAATGTTTGCAACTATTACCATAAAATTAAATAATTGAAATAAAACTAGCACAAAAAACCATGTAACAAGTTATTACAAGTGAAACAATTATTAGTTATCTATAACATAGACTAAGTAAGATATATTAAGTCATAATCATTAAATAATTTTTTTATGACTCAATATTTCGTCACGTTTACAGACAATGCAGAAACCATATATTGTGAAATACAACCTTCTAGTTTGATAGTGCTAAAGAAATATTTTAAACTACAAAAAAACAACTATCTCTTACCAATTCACTTTAGGAAGTTGTGGTGGCACCCATTCCTTAGCAATGTATTTCTTCTGTTCGTATTTGGCCCGTATGAATGACTCAAGTGAAGAGTCATTTTGTGGCCGTCTAAAGGAGTCTGGCAGATTTGCTTCATATACTGCTCTTGCACGAGAATTGCCCATTTGTTGCAGTGATACCTGTAGTTGTGCTTTTTAATAAGTACATCTACACAAAAGTATTTAAATTTTGGCTTAGTAAATTTGGGAATTTGCCCGCATCCCATTTGCTTGCTTGCTATAAGCTCTTTACTTAAAGAGCATCAAAATACAGTGGTTTAGAAAATTCAATTTAAACACAATGAAAACTATAAAAGATAAAATATAAGGGAGCCAAAGATGTTAGGTTATTATATAATTCAAGCTATCTACTAACCACTTGTTCTGGTGTCCATGAGTCCAAGTTGACACTCTTCACCTTGGATATATGAACACCCAGGTTACGATGGATACCAGCACACCTTATGCATAAGAATATACCTAGGTTCCACGATGCCCAACGTGGTCCTGTCATCAAAAAAAAATTGTCTAAAAAACTTTGAATTCCAAATACACCTACATGATACATTTATAAAATAATAGTAGTACTAGTTTGTACAATACATTCATCAGATTTTAGTTACTTAAGTGAACTATAATTAAGGAATTTGTTTAAGTAATGAATAATTTATAACAGCCCTATAAGGCAATATATGAGTAAGTAAGAGATAATTCCCAGTATAATTATAAAACTGAGCGGGAAGAATTCCCATCATTGTTGTGACTGCTTTGGAATTGGAATACATATATGGAAGTTCTTGTTTCCATACTAATAGGCCATTGAATAATTGTATACTTGATGGTTTTATTTCAAAATCTACCTTCAATAATATTTTGTAATATAAACTATCATGACCTTCATAAAGTTAATCATTTTGTTTTAATTATGCTTATTTGTAATACCTTTTACCACTTAAAAGTTGATTGTTATGACTTTGATCATTATAATTTACAATAAAAACAGCATGTAAAATGACTTAATATAATATCAGACCTAATCAAATACAACATAGATTAGAATGGATTTATTTAATAAAATAATAATAAGAATAAAGAGCAGTAACATTGTAAAATTTTTATAGTGTAGACACAATATTATTACACCCAATATTTTATCTTTATTGCTATGATAATTAAATTAAGTAATAAAAAACAGTATTGTATACAATTGAGAGCGAGAATAGTATTAGTATTTATATGTAATTGCTACCTCTTAGCATAGATCTTGAAATTTGAGTAACAACATTTATGAATGCAGACCTTTTTACATCACTATACATACTGTCTAATAAGATTGTTCTCTCAGGTATTAATTGATAGAAAATTAGGTAATAGATCTTTCATAATTTGATTTTTATAGAAGGCTGATCTTGTTTTTTCTAAAGATTAATGTAAAAATAATCTAACCAGATATACATTCAGAGGTATCAAAACTTTTTTAAACACATTTAAAAATGTTGCAGGTTATTCTAGTATGCTTAGTGATATAATTAAGAAATAATCGGATCAAATGTAGATAGTTGGTTTCCTCCTGTGAGTCATTAAATACATTATTGAACAGTCAATTAACCTTACACATTGGTATCAGATGTTACATAGTAAATTAGTGTACCTGGATGTGAAATTGGGCTAGGTAATTTAACTGTGCTAAAATGTTTAAGATAGAAAACGATATTTTGCCATTACAATCAACATTTTTTTTGTAAAAAATAATAGTCTTGGTAAATAATTAATTAAGTGTTAATGCAGGAATTATGAGTCAGTATTTTCTTAGTTCAGACTCTGAGAGATTACGACAGCATTTATGTCGAATATGTAATTTTAAATTTACTTTCAAAATTGAAGCTTCAAATCTCGCCTAAAACTTGTTGGTTGAACTATTAAATTGTAAAAATAAAAAGAGAAAAAAAGATTTCCTCACCCTTAGCGTCACAATCTACACAATATTTATTGTCCTCATCTTTTAACATTTGGATTAGAATGTTCTGACATCGATCCTGGATCTGTTTAGCTCGATCTTTTTCACTTTTAGAAGACATTTTCTGTGAAAAACTACACAATAAAAGAAAAAAGGGAGGATACGAAATTCAGATTATTTGTTGAAGACTGACAGGAAGCCATAAACTAAACGGATCAAGATGACAAAGTAGAAGTTGACATAACGCTGACACATAATCCAAAACGTAATAACGTCATTGTCTATTTGATAAAGAACTGTCTGAACACTAGTATATGTGCGTTTTCCAATTACAGCACTAGAACGCATTTTGCGGCATAATGCTCAACGTCGAGTGTTCCAACTACAGCAACGCTTCGCACAATTGAGCACTCTCAAAACGAATGCTCCGAACGAACACAGTGACAGAAAATTGACCAGTATTTCTCTTTAAGTTGGCATTTATCGAAATTTTCGTTAGTAAATATTATTTATTGTTGAAAAATTTGTAAGGCTTTCGTTTTGTCGTAGATTTTGAAAATAATTAAAGTTATTTCAAACTGCTAAAAAAAAAAATATTAGTATGGATGATAAATAGTTACTTTTTTTATATTCCACATTTAAAATATGAATACAATTTTATTTTAAAATTCGGATCTGTAAACAAATTAATTTTACAGGATTATACTTTAGAAAAAATTGCAATGGTTTTGAAAAAGTATATAATTTTTTTAGAAATCATTAAAAAATATTACTCAAAACGTAAATGATGTAAACTTCTTACATGAAACTAAATATTTTACTGTTAATTTAGCTTGTTAAAACCTTATATTCTTTAAAGGTTTTCTATTACTTCAATAAAAAAAAATGTTAATTAAATAATTTGATGATTAAAATAAGCGTAAAAAGTTTTCAACCAATTATTATTGTTTACCACATTATTTATACATTAATGAGGTTGCTAACTCAATTCATACAAATTCAACATTTTTTTTACAACACTGACTTAGCGCACTCTGCTGATGCATTTGAAAACTAATTCACGTTCCAATTAAGCTTCAGCATTATGCGGCATTGTGCGGCACTGAGTCGCAAAATGCTCTGTAATTGGAAAACGCACTTTATCTTTAACTACGATTGTTTTTGGTTCGATGCTAAAATTAGAATGTATAGTTTTATAAGTTTGACTTGTAAATACATGATTATTGTAATCGGATACTATTTGAGTATAATAATTTCAATCACTAATTAATTACTCCAAAACTAAAAGTCATATCGAGATGAACGGTTCAGTACCTATTGAGATTTGAGAACTACCCACATACATAATATATAGGTAAATAATGGAGACAGGTATTTTAAGTCAGCGAAATTTTTATAAATCTATTGTTTTATTTCAAATCAGGATTCTTAATCTTATTTCGATTCGAGTATTAATATTTGTTTGGTTTGGCCATAAAGTCTTTAAAAAAAAAATCAGTCAGTTGTCATGTAAGATAAATATTGCTTGATTATTGACTGTAGCCAATCACTCGAAAGGCAATATTTAGTATTTACATTTTAATTTTGCTCCATAATATTGGCCCTATAAGAAAGCTAAACAAAGCAGCAAGTAAAATTGAAATGTATTGTGGTGATTTTTTGTTTCTTTTATCATTCTATTAGTAGTTTTTTATAAATTTTAACTTTCCTAACATCGTAAGGAAAAGCGAAGAAGAAAGGTTTTCGATGTCCCCTTAGTTTTCAGTTTTCACCATCTCGAACTTTGAAACAAAATGGGTAACCAACTCGTTGGTATCGCCCCATCCCAGATTTATCCAGTGGAACACTATCTGAGCGATCATGTCGATTTATCTTTTGATCAAAGGTATGGTTTATAATGTTAATGTCGCCATTAACAGTTTCTTGGATTATTAATTGACTATAAGGTTTCTTTATACTATACATAATTTTTAGTTTCACCTACGTCATTGGTCCTCATTATTTCAATACAAAGTACAATACAGTAAGAATGTTTAGACCTATTATTAACGGTATATTAATTTCTTTTATTTTTTAGCCTTGGCTCAACAAGATTCTTTAAGGTGGCTAGAGCTAGGACTCGAGAAGGTTTGGTGGTTGTCAAAGTGTTTGCAATACATGATCCCTCACTACCACTTGCTGAACATAAGGAAAGAATACTTAAAATTAAGGAACAACTTGCTTCTGCATTCAATTGTTTGCCATTTCAGCGAGTTATTGTATGTATACATATATTATTTTGTTAAACACTATATGTATCACAAATATTCTTTTAGAAGTTAGGTGGAAACCATGATTTTCAAACTATTTTACCTCTTAGCTTCAATATGTATATATTTGTCTGTATTTTCTGTTTCAGTTAACAGACAAAGCAGGTTTTCTTATAAGGGAATACTGCAAGTGCAGTGTTTATGACCGAATGTCCACTCGGCCCTTTCTAACCATGCTTGAAAAAAAATGGATTACTTTTCAAGTGCTTCATGCATTACACAGAATGCACAAATTGGGGATATGCCATGGGGATATTAAGGTAATATGTTAGGATATGCACAGAATTTACTATTCTACATGATTAAATGGAAAATTGAGATGTCTCAACCAACCTGGGTTCAATTCAATATCCAAATCAATTGATAAACAAAAATTAAATAAATATTTATTTATAAAAAATAAATTATTCAAAAAGCTGAAAACATAAAAAATTAATTGGTCCCAGGATTAAAAAATTCAACTGGCAAGTTATTGTAGATATCTCTTAAATAAATGAATATTGTATTGTTTGTTGCATGTTCACAGAAATTTGTTGTTTGTTATGTAAAATATCCAATAACAATTAAAGAAATATATAAATGTATTACAGCTGGAAAACATAATGGTGACTTCATGGTTATGGGTCCTCTTGACGGATATAGCATCTTTTAAACCCACTTTCCTCCCAGATGACAACCCGGCTGACTTTAGCTATTTCTTTGACACATCTAGACGAAGGCTGTGCTATCTTGCACCTGAAAGATTTGTAAGAGCACCTGACCCTCATAATAGACCTGCAGTGAGTATTTTCATTATTAATGCCTTTAAAAAGTGATTTGAGATTTTTTAATCATAATTACAGTGTAATCTCTTTATAACACATTAGTAATAATGAAACACTCTCTATAACGTAAAAATGATATAAATTAGTGGTTTAAAATTAACACAAACCCCATACATTAATTCGCTCTTTATAACGCAACAGTCCTTCTCTATTACGAAGAAATATATTCATATTTAGACAACAACGACATACTTAAGTGTAATTGTTTTTATAATCTTCTTACAAAAGTAACCTATTGAGGTGCCGAAATTTCTAAGAAAGACCTGAGGCCATAAACAGCCGTCTCACCTTTGTTATTGTTAATTACATTAACACATGTGCGATTATTCTTAGATTACATTGCCTGTAGTCACCTATCGTGTATTACGTCAGGCAAAATTAATAGAATATTTGTCTTTAGAATAATTTATCTATTGATAGTAATAAAGTTAGAAATTGTTGTAATTGATTAAATTTGTTTTTTTTCTCTACCCTCTGTATAACGAAAAAAATGCTCTGCATACAGATGGCACCTAACATTTTAATAATAGTTTCCGATCTATGTGTACTTGTGTAAGTTTAAATGTTATTTAGGATTATTTTGTTAATAATAACAGTTTTATCACTCGAATGAATTCCTAAGCAAAAAATCATAGAAATTATCTGTGCCAATCCTATTATGGTATGTAATGGAATTTGCTAGCAATGCCAACAATTATATGTCACAGATATTTTGAGATGAACATCAAAAACAGAATGTGCTATTGTACCTCATAATTTTTTTTAGGGTGATGACAAAATGGCTGGGTTATTGTTGAGCGAATCCCCTTGCAAGATTGGTGAACTTGTACCTAGCATGGATATATTTTCAACAGGGTAAGTCCTAAAATATAAAAAAAAAAAAAGTGCGTGCGTCACGCACACAAGTCAGAAGTGAAACTTTTTTTTTTCACAAGTCAGAAGTCAAACTAATTTTTAGGTCTTGTTCATATTTATACAAATCTAAAACTTTAGATTTCCGAGACTTAGAGGGTCCCCCCCTCTATGTCTGCATTAATTGAATGGTCCAGTGGCGTAGCGTGCCTTGTCGGGGCCCCGTATAAAAATTTTTTTGGAGGCCCTTATATGGAGGTAAAGATTTTTTACAAAAGAAAAAAAATATTGTGAGAAGTAATATTTATTTATCACATAATTTACCCATTTTACAAATAAAAATCGAATTTTAAATATTCACTCTCCTTGCCTTTTTATCGGCAAACTGATTTATTAAATCATTTATGGCTGATGATGATTTTAGTTTTTCTAAAGTTTCTGCCTCTATGGACAATAGTGAGATGTCTGACAGCCGTTCTTGTCCCATCGAAGTTCTTAAGTAATTTTTTATTAGTTTTAATTTTGAAAAACTTCTTTCTGCCGTTGCGGTTGTAAATGCTTTTTATTCTTGACCCTTCAAGAATAAAAAGCATGCTGTGATTACCTCGGGAAAACTGGATGCAAGACTATTGAATTTTACTAGCAATAATTCAATGAGTTCTTTAATGGAATAAATTTTTTTAATTTCAGAATTTAAGCATGTTTTTAGAGCCTTTAATTGGTCACAAAGATTAAGTGAGATGTCTTTACTGTATTTAGCAGACAGTTTTCCGGAAGCGTTTAATATCTCTTCGCTTGAAGAAGATAGAAGTTTCTCCGGTTGTAATATTTCGAATATACTACTCAGGTTGCAAAGGCTCTGAAATCTTTCTTTAGTTTGAGAAATTAATATATCTAAACAACAATAGTATACATTGACTTTGAAATAGGATTCCGGGTCGGAAATTCTCTCATCTTGTGATAACTCATCAAAAAAACGCTTCGTTATCTTTCGCCTACTGTTTTTAAAAACAGTTGTTACCCCCCACTTTTTTGCTAAATCTTTGGATTCATTTAGCAAACTATTAAATGAATTCTGATTTCTTAATTGGCACAGTCTATTTAAAAGATTACTTAATAAAATACTAGATTTCTGT